AGTTACTAGGACAAAAGGTATATACTTTTTCAAAAGTTTTTGATACATATTGCCAAATTGCTATCCCTTTAGCAGTGAGTTTTTTTATAAGCCAAGCTTGAGTTGTCCAATTTTTACTTTTATTAGATTTTAATTGACAATTATTTTTATGAATTATTATTTAATATACAAATAACTAAATCAGATGGAGAATAAGGCACCCTTAGATTTCAACAGAAAATTATTCAGTTGAAATAACCAAAACCAGCTATAGGAATTTATAAGGAACCTTGGAAAGAGCTATTTTTCTTGGCTGTGAAAAACAACTTCTTACTTAAATTAAGGTACAAGGTCAAAGATATGAACTTCAAAACTATTATTTTTTCATCTCAGGTTATACAAACCCTAATTTTTATCTCCAATTTCATAGGACCACTAGTCCTAACCTGTGTCATAACAACTCAACAGAGTCCAGCCTAAAGAGAAGTAGACGGTGTGGTAAACAGAATAAAAGACCCCCAAGGATGTCTATACCCTAATCTTTGAAACCATTAAATATGGTTAGATTATCCAGGTGGGCCCAGAGTAATCGGATGAGCCCTGAAAAGCAGAGCTTTCTCCCAGTTGAGGTCAGAAGAGGCAGAGAGATTTCAAACATGAGAAGGATTTGGCAAGCCATTGCTGCCTTTCAAATATACAGATCCACAAACAAAGGGAAAAAAGAGGAAAGTATGTGGGGAAAAAAAAAAAAGTATGTGAGGAGATGGATATGCTAATTTGTTTGACTATAGTAATCATTTCAGTATGTATATGTATATCAAAACATCAGGTTGTACTCCTTAAATGTATTAAAAAAAAAAAGATATACGGGGACTCAGTATGTATATGTATATCAAAACATCAGGTTGTACTCCTTAAATGTATTAAAAAAAAAAAAAGATATATGGGGATCACATGCAAGTACGAGAGAAAGGCCACTAGAGCTAAGGACCTCTGCCAGCTGGCAACTCACAAGGAAACAGTGATCCTCAGTCATGTAACTATAAAGAACGGAATTTTGCCAACAGCTTGAATAAGCTTAGAAATGGATTCTTCTCCAGAGAGGAGTGCAAACCTGTTGATACCTTGATTTCAATCTTGCAAGACCTTAAATAGAAAATTCAGTTGAGCCATGCTGTGCTTGGGCTTCTGATCCACAGAGACTGTGAGATAATACATGGGTGTTGTTTTAAGTCACTATATTTATAGTAATTTGTTACAGCAGCAATAGGAGACTAACAAACTGAGTATGGGAAGAGATGTAACCAAACCATTTATTGCTAGAATAAAGTATTCATAATTCTCTTTATTCATCTACAACCTTTTAAAGTGCTGACTGAATGAGACTGAAAAATTGAGAACCATAGTAAAAAAAAATATTAATAGCTAGTGGCAGGTTTTTGACTGTGATTTTGTTGGTTTATGACCATAATCTTACCACCTGTTGATGTTTTCATAAATTTCACTGTCGTCTCATTTTTCATGCATATTATGTAAAATATGTATATCTAGTTTCTCAATTAATGTTAGGGTAATTTTTTAACGATTTTAAATAATCTTGATCAACGTCATTTCTTATACTTCAGTAATATCCCATCATTTGGCTTTACCATACTTTATTTAGCATTTCTTTGATAATCTCTAATATTCAGTCTTTTTTTCCTGTGATTGTTATATTCCTTGCACTGGACAATTTCAAGTAAATAAATATCTAGTTCAAATCATAAAGGGATTTTCAGATAATTCTGTTACATTTAAACTCACAGTGAATGATGTTTTTTTAAAAGCTAGCTAGATCTTGGGGGCCGGCCAGGTGGCGCACTGCTACAGTGCGCCGCTTGGGAAGCGCTGTGGCGCTCCCGCCAAGGGTTCAGATCCCACATACAGACCGGCTGCTCACTGGCTGAACGAGGTGCGGGAGCAACACCATGAATGATGTTTTTTTAAAAGCTAGCTAGATCTTGGGGGCCGGCCAGGTGGCGCACTGCTACTGTGCGCCGCTTGGGAAGCGCTGCGACGCTCCCGCCAAGGGTTCAGATCCCACATACAGACCGGCCTGGCTGAACGAGGTGCGGGAGCAACACCAAGGGTTGCGATCCCGTAGCCGGTCCCGGTCCAGTACGGGCGCGACACTGAGGGTTGCGATCCGTGGCCGGTCACGAAAAAAAAAAAGAGACAAAAAAAAAAAAAAAAAAAAAAAAAAAAAAAA